TCATCACTATGTCGGAGAGACAAGTAAAACTGGGTTTTTTGAGTATGCTGGAACAAAAACTGAGTATGTTCTGGAGGATTCAGAGGACAGACCATTGTCACCTGATTTTAAGTCAGAAAACAGGTCTTTATTGCTGGAGGAAATTAAAGATTCTCCAGATTCTTTGAAAGGCATCTGCTCGGATTCCCCAGTTCCTCCGATTTTCCCTTACTTTTCTAACATTTCAGAGTGTCACTCATCTTTACCAGAATCAGCTGTGTCAACTGATGGATCAGACCACAACAAAAGGAGGCCTTTATCACATGTTTCTGTAATATCTGCAGATGGAAGTGCTCCATTTTTACCTGATTCACCCTTACAAGACTTCAGACCTGTTGTACCTGAATTGCACACAGCTGCCTTTGGATATAGGTCCTCCAAACCAGAGTCATTGCTTTCACATACTGAATATGGCTTCTCAACTTCAGTGGTCTTTACAGATGAGAGAACAGACTCAGCTTCCAATCTTGAAGACAAGATGTCAGCAGCTGATGAAACATTTAGGGCACACCAGATGATATGTCAGCTGTATGATCCTCATTATGTAGGAGAAAGTTTTGTAAACAGAGCTGAAATAGTTGATGATACTGGGACCAATGTAGAATGTATTCAACTCGATTCAGATGTGGAAGAGAAGGAATTTTCTGCTTTATTTTTTGAACCTTCAGTTTCATCAGAGTTTAGTCCTGCTGAGTCCTGCATCCTTGGCAGTCCAGGGTCTTTCAATTCAGAAACTGAATTGCGGCCACTTTCACCAGAGTCAGTCATGGAATATAGGCCCATGTCACCTGAAGACTTAGTGACAGAAATAAGAAGATGGTCTCCTGACTCAAGGGCATCCATTAATGAGTTTAGGCCTCTATCTCCAGACTCTCCTCTACCACCACCATTCAACCCAGATATAGAAGAAGGTGTGTTAGTTTTTGGAAGCAGGTCATCATCACCTACATTTTTCATGCTGGACAATGACTTAGAAGTTTTGGACATGCAATTTTTTGAGGTGAAGGGGGGATCACTTACACCGGATTCTGAAAATGAATTTAGGACACTTTCCCCTGATTCACCTATACTTGAATTCAAACATTTTATATTTCACCCCCCAAGTGTTTCGAATGCTGAATGCAGGTCCAGTTCAACTGAATCTGTTTGTTTTTCTGATTTAGAATTTGAAGAGGGTCGATTTGTATCAATGGCAGATGAACACCGACTTCCATCGCCTGATTCAGGCGTATCTAGAGACGAAAGTCAAACTCAATCACCAGATTCATCTGAACCTCAGGTCATGTCAGGAGTAGCTGAACGTTACCCATCATTTGTTGAGTTTAGATCAACAGTTATGTCTGATGTTAAGTATTCATCTTTAGCTAACCGCTTACTTGATACTGAAGATAGGCCAGTTGTTGTAGAATCATTAGAATCAGAAACTGAAGAGAAACCTTTGACCTTTGACTCTATATCAGAGTATAGAATTTCCTCACCTGTATCACTAATGGCAAATGTCACATCATCTTCTCCTGAATCAAGTGGCTCTCTAAACAAATCAGGTCATTTACCAAATTCCACTCTTTCTTGTGTTGATGCCAGTGGTCACCGGTTGTCATCACCTGAATCGGTAACTTCAGAAATAGAATATGCTCCTTTGATTTCACAGATGTTTGATGTTAAGGACAGACCAGACTCCTGCCAATCAGACGTGTCTGACCTCAGATGTTTGTCTCCTGACTCTCCACTACCCCAGTACACCACTATGTTAGAAGTCAAATACTGGCCCTTATCACCCATATCAGTATATTCAGATGAAGATTCAGAGAGAGATTTGTGTGCCACAGGGCTTTTTAAGGACAGAGCCGAATCTTCTGAATCAGCTGCATCAGAGTTTAAACTTTTACTAGACTCACCAATTCCTGAATTTGGACCAGATCTAGGATCATCAATATCATATACAGACTTCAGGTCTTGTTCACCTCAATCTGTGTTATCTGATTTTGAAACAGAGTTATATTCTCTTATGGTCCCAGAAGGCCAGCATTCATCTCCAGAATCCTTACCATCTGTGAGCAAATACACAAGTCTTTCTCCTGATTCCCCTGTACCTGACTTCAGACGGGGTTTGCCAGAAACTAATGTTGAGTTCAAAGCTCACGGGTCATTGTCACTTGAATCGGTGGCTTCAGAAACAGAATATGCTCCTCTGATTTTACAGATGTTTGAGGACAGGGCAGAATCTCCTGATTCAACTCAGTCAGAAGATCATTGTAAACCCCTTTCACCTGCCTTACCCATTCAGTTACCTCGTGAGTCTCACAGTGCTTTAAGGTCCATGTCCCCTGAGTCAGTGCTTTCAGACCTAAAAATAGACCTCCCAACACTTGGTAAACCACTTTCTCCTGAATCTCTATCATCAGATAAACTTTCACCTGATTCACCTGTACCTGACTTTGTGAAAACACTGTTTAGAGTACCCAAAAATGTCTTTGTACAAAGATCGGCATCTCATGAGTCAACATGTTCGGACGATGAATATATTTTTATAAGTTTAAGCTCACTAGTTCATGACATGAGATGCTCTTCACCTGGCTCGGTAGCATCTGGAGATGAGTACCAAGTGCAGTCACCAGACTCGCCAATACCCGATTACACACCAGGAATGCCAGAACACGTCATTGTAAATGTTGGGTATCGCTCATCCTCTCCTGAATCCATCGAATCAGATGTCGAGTACGCTGTGAGGGACTTTTTGATGTCCACAATTTTCTGTGTTGAGAACAGACCAGATTCTCCTGAATCAGTAGAATCAGAAACAGAAGAAAGGCCGCTCTCTGTTGAATCTATACCAGAATACAGGCCCATGTCTCCTGGGACATTAGTGCTACTTGGAAACATTAGATCAGCATCTCCAGAATCTACTCAGTCATTTGATGAACACAAGAAGCTTTCTCCAGACTCGCCTCTCCCTTGGTTTGCACAAAATGTTTTTGAGGCTCCAGCAGCAGGAACACTTTATGGCAGCTCATCCTCTGAATCATTATCATCATTGTTTTCAGATCTGGACTGTGATCTGACATATTCTCCATTTAACGCAAGAGTCACTACCAAGAGAGCATTGTCAGCGCAGTCCGAAAGATCATATGATGAACTCCTGGGGTCTGAATCACCAGTGCCCGATTTCACAAAGAGTTTTGTGGAAACTTTCATGTGTGTGAGAAACATGTCACCATTAGACTTTTCAGATTCTGACAGTTTATCCCAGGCTTCAGCTCCATTCTGTACGGGAGAAAGAACAACATCACCTGAATCTTTAGTATTAGATATGGAGGAAATACTTGCATCCAGATCATCTTTAAATGAATCAAAAGACCCACCTGACCCTAAAGAATCACTAATTATGGTAACTGAGTATAATCTCGCTGATGATGCTGAGCGATGGAGTCCAAGTTCTCAAGCAAGTCATCTTCAGTGTGCCAGAGAAACTTTGCATAGTAAAAAAAGGTTTACACAGTTTGTTGACAGCACAATGGACTACGAGAGAAGTGAAACAGATGACGAAAATCGGACAGAAAAGGATAAAAATTCAGAGGAGGCAGAGTCACTTCCACCTATGACTGAACACATTTTCTCTTCACGAGCACTTCCATACAGACAGAGAAAGTCTATATTTGAATTGCCTGAGGCAGAAACACAGGATGAAGGTTCACCAGAATCCTCCATGTCCCCCAATGCAGTCATGGTGTTAGATGCAAGAGCACCATCACCAGGGCCTGTGACATCAGTCAGTCAGTTCAGACCACTTTCACCAGATTCTCCAGTACCAGAATTTACAGTGGCATTGTCAGAATGTGTAATGTTTCCCAGATCATCATCGTCACCTTTAGCATTGGGTTCAGATCATATGCCACTGAATTTAGACTTTGATTTTGTAGAATGCAGACCATCATCTGTGGAAGTTCCACTGTTTGATGATCAAAACGAGACAGACAGGCCACTATCCTCTGAGTCCTCTGAATACATACCTGTGTCATTTGAATCTGCCGTACACATGGCTGACAAAAGAGCATCATCTCCAGAATCAATGCCAGAGTTCAATGAGAACAGGCCGCTGTCTCCAGACTCTCCCATCCCTCAGTTTACAGAGTCGTTGGAGGCTTACAGCACTATTTGTGAGTCATCGTCAACTGAATCACAGGGTTCAGACTCAGAGTACGAGTTGATTGTCAAATCATCAAAAGTTGCTGGTAGTGACAGACCATCCTCACCTGAATCTGTGTCGTCTCTCGGTGAGTTTGAACAACTGTTACCTGACTCACCAGTACCTGAATTTATGAGAATATTGTCGTCTTATTTTATGAATGCTACTCCAGTAGATAGATCATCTTCTCCGGTTTCTTTTGCATCAGACTCTGAGTTTGTGGCCTTGCCTGTTGATTGTTGGATTAATGATATTTCGCGACCTTTGAGCCCTGAAACTGCGGAATCAGAGGAGGAATTAGACTCTGGTCCATCTTCATCGTTACTTATCAAAAGCCCAATAGCGATGTCACCGTTAGTAATTCAAATTGGGGATAAGTCTGGTGAAGAACATCCTAAGTGGCAAGAAATGAAAGAATTACAACCAGAATTTCAGTCATACAAAGAATGGATGGAGCCCGGATCCCAGGTTGGAAGCTTCTCAACTTTACAAACCACCGTCTGTGAGGAAGACTCACATGTTAATGATGGTGAAGGAAAGCAGAAGAAGACCCAGCCTGTTAGTGTTGATGATCTAAAGACCAAGCTAGCCTCTCAAAGGGTAAGACTGAAAGCATGAAATCCAGCAGAGAGTAACTAGTTTTCATTAACGTAACCTTTTATGTCACTTGGACATAAAAAGTGTAACTGTGTGACAAAAAAAGGAAAATACATTGCTGAACTAACAACAACATGGAGTGCATTAATGCTGGGGATGTTTCGTGAGCTACTAATTATTCCCTTCAGTTCATTTGTCTGACGACAGACGGTTGTTTATTGAGGGGCACTTTTTGCAGTCTGTTGCACGTTTCTAAGCAGTAAACCTATTTCCCTAAACTCAGACTAAACTTGCTTTGTTTTTCTGGATTAAAAAAAGGCTTTGTCTGCATGGTTAAAGCTCACCCTCTGGTATTCTTAGTTAGCTACTGAGATAATGTTGAAATTTCACTTCCAGGCTCCTGAGACACCAAAGGAAACACGGTTTCAAACAGACGATGACACACAGCTTCAGTCTGCTACAACAATAACACAGCAGAGCAGTAACATAGGTGTGCTCTTTGGTGAAGACAAGCTGATGGCATCAGTCCCTCTACAGCTACCTGAACACAGCACATACACAACTCACAGAGCTGTTACTCCAATTCTGCCTTCACGTGAGAAGGCTTCATTTGCATCCCACAGGTGCTCTGAGTGGGAGCTGTCCCTGAAGGAAGCACAATCTAGTGAGCACTTTTCACCCTCGCCAACTCCTGATCGAGATTACCAGGCAATGCTTCCAGAACATCTGAGAGCTCCTGACTGTAGCCAAGTGTCCTTGAATGACAGGAGCCTCCTGTTGTCAGTGTTCAGCGACTCTATGTCAGCTAAGCTTGAGAGCCAAGCTCTGACTAAGAAAGAGTCTGAAACCCTTGGAGACACCGAAGACTTTTCACCAGACTTTAAGAAGGTCCTCACAGGAACTAGAGAGAAACAAGCGTCCGAATCTGAATTAGGTAAACCAAATGTCCCAGTAAAGCAGCACTTCAAGGGCTCTGAATCTCCACAGCACTCTGATTCAGATATGGAGTTCTTTGACTGCAGACAAGCCTTCTCTGACTTTTCGGAACCAGAAGATGTGATTACCTATCATATCTCTGAACCCCCTTCACCAGTACCTGGGAGTAGTCTTGATACTGGCCTTCAGCGTGCTACTCAAGCAAACCAGCTCTTCTTGCGGGCAGAAGATAGAAATCTCTTCTCTACCAGCAGCGAAAGTCTTCCTGAATTTGCTTATGATGTAGAGGCGTATCAGACAGACAGTGGGCTCCCCGTACTGGAGGAGCTCCCTTCCAGAGATCAGGCAGAATACTATGACGATGATGACTTCCTGGGACGGGTAAGAGGTTGAGCATGAGCACAGTGCTGTGGATCTGCATTCCTAAATCAAGAGACAAACAAGCAGTCGGTACTTTGGAGACTAAAAGACACTGGAAATGCTTTTGTGTGCATAAATATTAGAAATATTGCAAATGTCATAACACAAACACTTCTTCCTCACACCAGTGTGCTGTTTGGGGTTTGTTTGTTTGCAGTATCTCAAACTGTTGATGAAATGCATGAGCTGCTGTAGGGAATCTTTAACTGAGACATTTGCACCTGTTTGCTTTGATTTCTGCCTGTTGCAGTTCATCCCACTCACATGTACAGATAATCCCCCCCTTAAATATATGCAAAAAGAATTTCCTTTAGCTATGAAGGATACAGTCATATGGGGCAGTGCAGTTATGCTTTTGTTTATGCACAGCTCTCTTAAGGTAAAGAGTTGAGTTCTGGTCTTTGGACTACTACCCCAGCTCGAGTCTTTTATTTTTTAGCCGTTCTGTTGCAGATCTGTGGGAGTACTTCAGACCCCCCTTTGTTCTTCAGTAGTGGTAGTGTCTTCGGTACAGGTGGCCTTTCATTTGACTCTGGGATTCAGGACTTCCCTACACTGACTGCACGTACCCAGGCCAAGTGCAGCTCATCGCCTCTAACTCCTGCTAACAATGTTTCCACTTTGACTTGTTTGGACGTCAGATTGATGGACAGCAACAACTTCTGGCCAACAATCTGGGCAGTTCATTGCTGAGTTCATTGCTTGTGTTGATGCTCACCTGAATGCTGTAGACTTCTGCTCACATGCATTTGATTAGCAGAACCTGCTACTGCTACTTACCCTCTTGATTCCTGTGGAAGCAGTAACAGTGTACTCAGTTTTTCACAGCATTGCACAGAGACCTGTGGCTGCAGAAGTTAACTGTAGACACTGTTTAGACCCATGCTATGTTGACCCATGCTGGTTATGTGCAGGAGATAGCTGAGGAGCTAGGAATGCTGTCCTCTGATAGCTCAGAGGAGGATGTACTGACCACCAGGGTGGTCCGACGCAGAGTAATCATTCAGGTAAACGAGCATGACTGCGTGCAGTGCAGTGCGCCTGTGGCCTGTTGAAGGTTTAGTGGATCGTTTTGCTGCTCCTTTTTCAGCCTGAGCTTTTCAGATTAATCCTGTATAATACACTCGGCTCAAATTCATTTTCCTCTAATGCAGAAAGTCATATTTCAGAGAGTCAGCTAGAAACTTTGGTCCTTTACAATTTCATTGACTTTAGATTCACATTTTTGGTTTTTTTGCTTGTTTTTTAAGATAAATTTGTATTTCTACACTTTGTTCTACACATGTTGTCGTGTCACCATTAGGGTTTTTTTCTTTTGTTACTGGCAGTGATACTTGTGCATTGAAAAAGTGTGCACTGTGTATAACCTGAATGGACCCATAATGACGCTGGTATTCAGCAATCGTCAGTTTTCAGACGGACTTGAAATACAGAGATCTGTTGGAGCTGACTATTATTAATTACCGTTGGATTGATTGCAAAATGTTCTTTGACGTCTGTAGATTGTGCGTAATGTGAGTGAAGGTGTGAACCGACAGCAAGCGTTTTGTGTCTTTTGCAGGCCGATAACCTGCCAGACATCCCCCTGCAGACCCTGACAGAAGAGAAGTACATCGATGAAGATGGCAACATGGTGGTCAAGAAAGTGAGGAAGATTCAACACTGAAATCTGTATTACACTTAAAACCTGGTCCTTCATACAGAAAACCTTTACAGTGACTTGCCTCTCCAACAGGTCACGCGGAAGGTCATTCGTAAATATGTGTCTCCAGACGGCATGGAGACACAGGAAGTGACCATCGAAGGCTCTCACCAGCAGTCGGTCCAGATAGAGGAGGGAGATGCTGTTTCAAAGGTGGTGAAGAGAACTGTGCTTCACAGTGGAGGCGATCAGAAGGAGGTGAGAGCCTCTGACGTCTGCTAATCCTACTGTTGCTTTGTGTTTTATATCCGGTAATGAGGAGAGTTATTTTGCTGCAGTCGAGAGTCAATTTATTTTTTGCCTCAAAGTGCTGCAACCTGTTGCAGGTGAGGGGAAAGAGAAGCGAGCAGAGAGGTGAAGTGCAGGGAGAGAGTGCTGCTAATATTAAATACAGAAGTGCTGCATATACACACTGTGAGACTGAGCGAAGACAAACTGCTTAGTCTAACAAACTCAACCAAGGGATCATTCAGGGCCTCCTGATGCAGCTGTGACGGTTTTAAGCCTGAACCCAACTGGACGCTGGCTCCAGTGGAGGGTCTGGCTGCAGCTCAGGTAGATCAGTCTGCATGCCTGATGTCCTCGGGGAAGACATTCACCCCAAGTTAACGTCTCTGATGGTCTCGCTTTCTCTCCGATGTGTTTGGGTGAGCCAGTTAACTGTAAGTCCAGTTAACTGTAAATCCAGTTAACTGTAAATCCAGTTAACTGTAAATCCAGTTAACTGTAAATCCAGTTAACTGCAGGCACGTCTTTGCTGTACTTTAGTCCTCTGTTATTCAAAGTAACCATGACATCGTATTTCCTTCCCAGCTGACCTTTTCAGAGTTCCCAGCTCTGAGCGCTGCCACAGCGTCAGAGTTTGAAGTGGAGCCAGTGCAGGGCAGAAAGGTCAGCAAGGTTGTCAAGACAACTGTGGTGAGAGGCGAGAGGATGGAGAAGCACACAGGAGACCCGTCGCTGGCTGCAGACCTGCCTTCAGCCAGAGAGGACTTTGAGAAGGTCAGTAAGATTTCAGCTCGGGAATAATATTTGTTTTTCGACGTGTCGAGGATGAAAGGACACTCGTGGTGTAATGCAGGCATTTTATCACTGCGCTGAGAAAACCTGAGAGCTTTCTAGCATTTGATCTGTCTTTCCTCATTCTTCCCCTCCAGGCAATGAGTTACGCTGGAGGATTTGGAAAAGTGCTAATGCCGCATATAGTAGAGAAAGAGATTGTACAGGATGACGGTTCTGTGGTTAAAAGGTTGGACTGCATGAGTGTGTAGAAAGGACCTCACCTGAGCGTGCTGTGTGACCACACTGTGACTGTCCTAACCTTGACTGTCTGTGAGGGAGAAAAGAGACACCTGCACACATTATTTATACAACTTCTGTTGTTTTCATCAGATCCTGAGATGTGCAGTGTAGCAATAATAGATGCAGACACACATATTTCACATTACTGCCATTCCTGGTATGAAACAATGGTGCCATTACTGGTACAACCAGTGAGTAATAAAGCAAAGTGACAGCAGCATATGCTAATGTTTGCTTATGCTCTGCTGGTTTCTGATGCTTGTTTCAGCCACGTTTTGTTCCAGCGGGCTAGAGAGAGAACAGGCTGTGAATATAAGAGTGAACTTGTTTTTCATTTCAGTCCACATGATGTGTGACATCATTCTTTTAAAAGGGCGTCGCCACGTTTGATTTGATCCAATAACAAAGCCTCCAGCTGGACTCAAACCAGCATCCTTTTAGATGTGACAACACCATGTAACCACACGAGTATAGATGCAATACAGTTAAAATTATTAGGGATTTAGGAAACAACACAATGATTCTGAGTTTGTTTAGATGGAAATCTGAAATATTTAAACAACAGTTAAAGCATGATGCATCATGTGGTGCGATATGATTAATTAACATGGAAATGAAGGTGATGCATTTATTGTTCTTTATGAAACAAACGTGGAGCCTGGCAGTCTGCAGCCACTTACTGTGATCCTGGATGAACTACTACTGTTTCCTGTTCCTGCAGAAGCCAGATGCGTAATTCACGCAGCCAGAAGAGGACCGTGGTGAGGGATGCTCAGGGGAAGCATGTGCACCTAGAGCGCCTGGACAACACCGCAGATGCCCTGCAGCCTGATGCGCTGCAGCAGCACCTGCACCGACTGCTCCAGCGCTACTGTGAGGACACCGAGGATGAGGAGGAGGATGAAAACCTTAGCTGAGCAGCTGCTTCCACTGATCTACATTTTCCACTGAAGCTTTTGGTGACGTACACTTCCTCAGATCGAACCGCCCTCTGTCCCTGCTCATCACTGGAGTTTTTCTTTCTTCTTCTTTGGTTTGTCAGATATTGGAACCGTATTTTTGTGCTTTAACGATAGATGTTCGCTCTGATTGTGACCAAAGATAGCCACCCCTCACCGTCCTGATGATTTTTGTTCGTGTTTCGCTTCCTGCGGCTGCTTTGATGTGATGTAGGTACGATGCACCAAAGGCGGATTAGAAAGAAAAGGCGCGTCTCGGATGTTTCGCCTCACGCACCGGCCTCTTCTTGAAGAACTCGTGTAAACATTTGTACATAGGGGAGTTGATGACAAAAAGTCAAGCTGGGACTGGAAAGAAGCTGAAATAATTCAAAGCATTTACCACGTTAGCCCACCTGAACCTGCTGTACATGCACCAGCTGCAGAACGGCCACAGTACACATGAGATTAATGCCAGATAAAGTGTGAATGTGTATCATCAGAAACTCAGCCGACATCAACCCGCCCATCTGTTCACAAAGGCTGTGTGCTCACACCTTTTGTCATCTGCCCTTACTTTATCCACGTGTCTGTCCTTCCCACGTGTGGAGCATTGTTTCTGTCACCTGTGTGTGCCGTGTCTACGGAGAAAGAAAGTAGTGATGATGAATGTTTCGGTGCAGCACTCATGTCCTCGTGCTTCATGTTGGTGCTTTTCCTTACCTGCAGCTACTCGTAGCGTTTCCACACCTTTTAAAGCGCAGCTTTGACTGTTACTGTCAACAAATCTACAGGAAAACCCAACGCCAGCTCTGCTTTTGCTCCTCTGCTGCACACAGCTGTCATTGGCCATGCATGCAGCAACATTTCCTCCAGCCTGCAACACTGACTTTAATATAAAATGAAGTGTTGAGTCTGTGAGAAAATGGACAGTTTGCCTTTGATTTATTAGGAAAAATGGCATCACAGGTTTCATGGTCTCGGTGTTCTTCAAGCTCGTTTAGCAAATTATGGACGGAAAATAGACATTGGAGCAAAAACCATATGAGTTGGTAACAGTCGGAAGGAAGAACTATCAACAGGAAGAGACCTCTGGTAGTGATTAAAGAGACAATGAACAGCCCACAGGCTCTAATTAGATCAACTGATCGCTCCAACAGAAACCAGTGGGTCCTTTTAGAGTCTGGTTATGGTCCCAGTAACACTCTGTTGGTTTTGGGCTTCTCGTCAGATTTGTAGACACGTAACAGCAGACTTGTCCTTTAGTTTTGTTTTTCAACACATAAATAATGTAGTCGTGGATTTGCTTGTTTCCTGTCATCACTGTTATCACGTTTGACTTTAAAGCCACTTTAAACCCAGGCCGAGGCTTTTACCCGCTTCATTTGTGACACCTGTTCCTTTATTTATTGCTGTGTGTGTGTGTGTGTGTGTGTGAGAGAGAGAGAGAGAGAGAGAGTTTGGATGTATTTTGAAGCTACAGGTAAACCTTTGTTTGTTTCTTTGCCATCGCAGACAAACAGTTGTGTTGCTATAAGGCGGCTGCGACGCATTCAGACATGATTACGTGTGTTTGCTGTTCATCTACATATTTTCCATGTAACAATGTTGCCATTTACTTTGATCCACTGGAAGAATAAAGGTCAAAAAGAGAAAACCAATCTCATAACGGAGCATCTTAATTCCATGGTGATGACAATATATACATATTAACAGTGCAAATATTTATGCGGGCATGTATGACTTTATCAGATGATCAAAATAAAAATGCTAATGAGGTAAAAGAGCTGCAGTGTGTTTGTGACACAACAATAAAACTGTACATGTCTCGAATGATGCCCGTTGTCATTTTTTCACCACATATAACTTCAAAGAGTTTGTGGCGAAGGATGTTTCTGTCCACTGGGTGTTCTGGGAGAACACTGGGAACACTGGTCAAAGCTGAACTGAGCCTGCAGCAGGTGAGTTTTCTGTAAATCGGTTAATGCTGAAGAAACTGTTCAGTTAGTAGGTGTTTCCTTTGACACAGCCTGAGAACTCTTTGTAAACTCTTCTTCACAAACTTTGGTTGTGTAATCTGGCTAACTCACACACAATACACAGGATAGATTTTAGTCTTGGGTTGTAGTCACTATGTTTATGTTTATATATAGATGTTTTTATTTACTTATATGACCATGAAGAGGCCGCTAGGAAAGCTGCATCCACCAAGTACCTGCAGAGAGTCAGGCAAGTCCTGAGGAGTCAGCTGAACGGTAAGAACAAGATCCGGGCCATCAACACGTACGCCCTGCCCGTGATCAGGTACCCTGCTGGGGTAATAGGCTGGCCAAAGGAGGAGATAGAAGCCACTGACATAAAGACAAGAAAGCTCCTTACCATGCATGGTCTTGATGCATGCATTCACCCCAAGTCCAGCACCCTGAGGCTGTGCGCTAAGCAGAAGGAAGGACTGGTGAGTGTCAGCACCACAGTCCAGGATGAGACAACGAACATCCACGAGTACATCAGTAAGATGACCACAACCAACTGAGAGCTCAGTGAATACCTCAGGCAGCAGAAACCCAAGAAAGAGGAGGGAGACGAGGAACCATCATGGAAGGACAGGCCCCTGCACGGTATGTACCACCGGCAGATAGAGGAGGTGGCTGATATCCAGAAATCCTACCAGTGGCTGGACAAAGCTGGACTGAAAGACAGCACAGAGGCACTAATCATGGCAGCACAAGAACAAGCTCTGAGTACAAGATCCATAGAGGCTGGGGTCTATCACACCAGGCAAGACCCCAGGTGCAGGCTGTGTAAAGATGCCCCAGAGACAATCCAGCACATAACAGCAGGGTGCAAGATGCTAGCAGGCAAGGCATACATGGAACGCCATAACCAAGTGGCCGGCATAGTGTACAGGAACATCTGTGCCGAGTATAACCTGGAAGTCCCGAGGTCAAAATGGGAGATGCCCCCAAGGGTGGCGGAGAATGACCGAGCTAAGATCCTGTGGGACTTCCAGATACAGACGGACAAAATGGTGGTGGCTAACCAACCGGACATAGTGGTGGTAGACAAACAGAAGAAGACGGCCGTAGTGATCGATGTAGCGGTTCCGAATGACAGCAGCATCAGGAAGAAGGAACACGAGAAGCTGTAGGGGTACCAAGAGTTGAGTGAAAAACTCTAAAAGATGTGAAGGTAACTTGGTCATTTTTACATCAAATTATTTCAACATTTTGTTTTAGTTCAGTTTTATTTCTACAGCTCCAAATCACAACAAAATTACTGCTTTATACTGTAAAGACCCCACAATAACAGAGAAAACCCCAACAAGCAAGAGCTTGGTGACAGGAGGAGGAAGGAAAAAGCCCTTTTTAACAGGAATAAGTCAGGGAGGGGCGGCATCTGCTGAAACCGAGTGAGGATGAAGGGGCGGGGGCGGGCAGGTTCAGCAGGATTTTTCACAATCAGCATCAAAGCACAACAAGAAATATCAAAGCTAAGCATCAGCAGCAAAACTTCAGAAATATCACTGATGCAGAGCTCACATAAGGAATGAAAAAACAAATCGCTCATTGGCATAAATCACATTTTATTTGAGATTTCTTAAACATCAGGCTTGGCCCATCATGGCAACATTAAATACCAGCAGCCCATCATACAGTTCAATCACAAAGATAAACCCAAAGTGTCCTTTGAAATGGACAAATGTGATCAAAGAAATCAATACGAAGCAGTTCTCTAAATATTTCAGTGATTATTTAACACAAAAACACACCTGTGACTGTCTTTAACGGCTTCCTCTGCACTCAGTTCAATCTGGAATTAAAGTTTGTTCCCTGTGATCTCCACAACAACCGTTTCCCTTTCAGTCAGATGGTGGCACTAAAATAACTATAGCGTAACATGATGAGTGTTGAGCATGAGTAACCCGGTCAGTGATGAAACTTAGCAAACTGATTTACACGGTTAAACAGGGTTCGACTTTAAGCAGAGGATGAAATACGGAGGATGTTCTTAAAGGTAAGTGAGGAGAAGGACAGGCATCAATATCACACTGTAAAATGTAAACAAACAGATTCACATAATTAACTTCTTATTGTATGAAAATGTGACTGGCAGGAGTCAGAATGGCTTTAAGAATCTACGTCTACACTTCCTCCCACGATGCTCCGTGATGACCGAACTCACTAAAACAAACGGTTTCCCTTTTAAACATGTAGTTACAGTTCCTAGTAAACATACATCAGTAAGATAAGTCAACTCATATGGATCAAGCAAAGAGCAAATTACATGATTACCAAAACCTATGGATCAGCCAAACAAAGCAGGCTTGTGTCTGGAAACAGAAACGTGATTAAAAAGTTTGATATCGGTCATTGTGCCAAAAGGTAAAAATATCACAATAGCACAACATGTGTAATCCTGACTGGGAGCTTCACAGACTAGCCCATTAAAATCAAGTGGAACCAGTGGCACCATTAGAGTCCACTTCTATTTAAAAAAGAATATATCAAGAAACCAGTAATAAAAATGCTGCAAACAGAGATATGTTGAACACCCTGCACTCTCTCTACAAAGTGATGTTGTCAAAGTGTGAACTCCTTTACATTTAGAATAAACTTCAGTTCAGCAGCGACAATGTAAACAACACACTGAGAGGGCAGAGCGCTAGCAAACGAGGGGGAGGCGTGGCTTGGGCATCCGATGGAAAGACGGCAGAAGTCAGTCAGCTGACTGCTGTAGGCTGGAAGGTGGTGGAGGTCATCTCAGCTGAAAGTGGAGCACAGTCAGACACAAACCCACACAGTCAGCTTCACCCACTGCTCTGATCTAGTTACTGGGCATTACGGCTCGTTAGACCCGGAATACGTGTCAAGCTGTTAAAGGGAAACTTTGTCTCGTTTGAATGTTTAACGCTGTTCTCGAATACTTTGTCCTGACTGTGGTCAGATGTCCATGTGACGGAGGAGCAGCCTGCTGTTTTATTCTGGAAATCGAGCAGGGTGGTGATTTAAACAAACATGTTCGTCCGATCAACCAACACCAGCACATGCAGAATGATCTCTACACAAAAGCACCAACATTACTGGTTACGACACCAAAACTTGGAACGCTTTGTGTCTCGAGAGTGTTAGAAGAGCATGTTCACTCGTCGGCCGGTTGCTTAAAACACCTGAGAGGGTTTCTGTGTCTCCCAGCATATGTTGATGTTCTGGACTATTTGTGCAACCTCTGTAATTCCCTGGGTCAACACACCTGGATCAGATGATTAGTTCATCACCAGGCCTCTGGAGAACTTAAATCAGCTGTGTTGGATCAAGGACACATCTCAAACCTGCAGGACGCCGGCCCTCGAGGCCCGGAGGTGCCGACCCTGGTCTAGATATTGTTTCATGCTAACAGCAGCGACACTGACCCGAGCCAAATGCAAAACTGGGGAATAAACAGTGAGAAAAGATGACGAGGGAAACACGTCAATGGCCGTCACCATTAAAACCTTTCCTGTTGGGGGGGTTGTCTCACTGCTGGCTCTCTGGCCTACCTATGGTTAAGGAGCTGTACCTGATCCATCAGCCCACTCTCTCCCACTACACTGATCAGATCAATATCCCAGGGGTTTAACTGACTTGATGCTACACACTCATTAAAACTGTTCCTACGTGTCTAAACATTATAAGCAATCTGGTGGCGATCTTACTTGGTGGGAATGGTGGGAGAGCCGGAGCGGTGGAAGTGGATATTCTGCCACTTGCTGTCACGGCGGTGCCAGATGCGAGTCTCCTCTGACTGCATGGTGCGAGGCATGCCGCTGCTATCGATGTACTGGGTGAGGCGAATGTAGGCAATGCAGGCGGCGTCATCGCCAATGAGGTGGACGTGAGGGTTGAGCAGGATGGTGTGGATGGGCTGCTTCCCCTTAGACAGAGCTGCAGAGGACAACAACACTGTGACACAACCAAACACTCGACAGGTACCACATATTAGCTTTAAAGCATCCGATGCATTATTAATAATTACAAATATGTGAAATTGCTCGGCATATAACAACTGAAAGAGGCTTCAGTGGCTCTATTTTTTTTAAGAAACTAACTATTAACTCTGTTAATAGTTAGTTTCTTAAATTACATTTACATTTCATCGAAGGTATTAGCTATGCACCAAGCCAATATCCAGCATCAGTCACATCTAAATGACTGAAGTGAGCGACAAATCTGGCTTAAAGTCTTAACAAAACGTATAAAACGCTGATGCATCAGCTGACTGAGCTCTGGTGTCGACCTGCTGGTGTGGCAGCAGCATGCAGCTGCTTCTCAGACTTAAACGAAGACAAAACCCAACTGTACAGAGTAATTTATGCAAGACAAGTTTGGTTTTTTAGACAGGGTGTTAGCGTGTTGGAAAGTAACACCACAAACACGGCTGAACTTTTGCGGAAACATGGAAATACACTGAATATATCCAGGCCTCAGATACTAAGAAAATGACCTGCATCAACCAACAGTGCTGGAAAACACTGGGATGCACGAGGAAACCCGCTCCACAGAGCAACCAGGTGAACTGGTTGAATTTGT